TGTCCATGAGAGAAGGAGCATATGCATAAATTCCAGCTAATAAAAACAGTGGAGCTTGGGACAGCCCTTCAGTCTAGAGTCTGAGGGAGGAAAAACCAGCCAATGCCAGGATGAACCTTGCAAGTTTCTGAAAGTATTAAAAAGTACCTTTGCTGAAGCTGGAGCAATGACCAGGAGGTCTCTACGCTCTGGTTTCATGCATTTGGGAAGACACCTGTAATTCGATTCAGTGAGACCCTTACACTATTCCTAGTATTCTGCTTTCATGACAGATTTTTTTTTTTCGATGCTTTACATGCTGTGAGTCCTCAAATGCCTGAAGTGTTTTAAAAGCTTTCCAAAAATTAAGTGCTCCAAAAATTCTCTGATAAGGTTTAATACAGAGAGATAAGTGGCAGCTTCTCTGCTGGGCTTACCAGCAGTCAGTCAATGCCACGTCTTCAGTGTCAGCAGGCAACTGAATTGCATATCCCAAAAGTGAGGCAAAGGCTTCACCTTGGCATTGCCTATGCAAGGGTTTCACCAATTTAGCACCTTTGCTGTCATGTTCTTCAAAATCCTCATGTCACCTCAGATATCCAAGTGAAATAACCGGGTCTGCAAGCTTTGAATAATGATTTTTTACACTCAGGGCTAAGGACTAAGAATGGGAGAGAGGCCTTGAAAGATTAGTCCCTGATATTTTCTTTTTGGAGATCTAAATTTAAATTATGAAAATGAATTTTCCAGTCTCATCTGAGTCATAATTTTCCAGAAAAAAAATCTTTATAGTATCTGGCTCAACATGATGTTTCCACTAAGATAAACTGGAGACATTGCTGTCCCAGACCAGTTACTAGAAGGAATAGGAGAAGCAGTTTAGGATAACACCATCTGGTTTCTATTTTAACTCCACACCTGTCGAAAAGGAAAGGGAAGGGAAGGGAAGGGAAGGGAAGGGAAGGGAAGGGAAGGGGACTTTACTGTCTGAATAATCTTTACAGATTTCTTTAAATTATTTACAAAACTTTCATTGACTATAGATAATCCACTCATCTGACAAATAGAGGAGGCTTTTGTTACATTATTCGTACAAGAAAAAATCTGAGAATTTTGTCAGGTCTTAATCAGGTGTTGCCCAAAACAGGTATATAAGGAAAAAATAACTGAGCAGCTTATCTTTAAAGCACTGGCTTTGTTCTTCATAGGGATAATACTTCTGTACAATATTCCTGTCACAGTTTTAAGATTGGCTTCCAAAGGTCGTGCATTAAAAGTGTTGAGAAGACACATACAGATTATTCACAGCAACGCAGAGGAGCCTGTTCAGACAGTGCATGTTAAGATCTCTTTTGATTTTGGTTACACTGGCTCAGCTCTGAAGCTCTTTGTACTGAAGACAGCGTGTCTGTGCCCATTGTGCAGTTTCCAGCCTCCACTGCCTGTGAGCAATACCATGAACAGCCTATGAAGGTGTGGACAGCACTGGGACAGCACCAGGTGACAGCACACTAATACCTCCTGAGTCTGTCACTGACTCCCTTTGGCCAGAAAGGAAGAGAAATGAAACACTGCAGGGCTCTGCATCTTTGCAGGCTTTAGACTAAAAGAAACAATATGGGGTGGGGGGGAACGGATTTTCTTTTCGATTTTTTATTTAAGCAAAACATCTGAAAAGGGAAGCTTTAAGGAAGAGAAAGGGATTCTTGATAGTTATTAGCCCTCTGCTTAGCTTTACCCTTTCCCAGATGTTTTTTCCCTGGGGAATTCTAGCAGACAGACCACGGATCATCACAGCTGGCATCTGAACAGCGCTGTGCAGTTAATAATGATTCACAACCACTGCTCCCAATCTCGCCGGCATTTGCCTCCGTTAGGACAGAGCACAAATGTGCTTGCAATTAGAAAGGAAGGAAGAATGTAACAGAAATGCTGTTTCTTTTTAAACAAGTAAGTGTAATTTTTCATGTAGACTTGGGGCTGTGCCCGCAAGTAATTTGCTTTTGTCAAATGGAACATGAAAACCACGCACCCAGTCCTGCAAATGATTACTCACAAGCACAGCCTCTGCTAGCACAAATGCTGGCACTGGAGTCAAGAGCAGTCTGGTGTGGGTAAGGATTACTCGTATGAGGAAGGGCTTTCAGGATTGGCCCCAAGAGAGGTATGTGAATACTCCTTCATGGGACATAAGCTTCAGGGAACTCAAAATAGGTTAATTCCATGCCTGATTCATTCCATGGACCATTTAACGAGAGCCTCTGGAATTGTGCAGTCAGTAATGAACTGCCAAGAACCAAAAGTAATCACTGCTGCAATTATTAAAATTTACACTTGGATTCTGTTACCTTTGCAGCAAGTATGGGTCTTGAATTAAGTGGCCCAGAAATCCAAGGACTTCCCACAAAGAGCAGTACTTTCAAAACCACAATTCTTTTACTTGCTTATTGCCCAAATTGTTGCACAAAACTGCTGTTATGTTAGTTTGTTTTCTTTCATTTTTTCATGGGGTCTTTGCACACTGGAGATGCATGAAAAGGCTGCTATATCAGTAGCAATTATGGGTTAATAGGTCATGTGGAGGCTACTTTTTTGTTCTAAGCACAGTGGGTCTGGGCACTCTTCTGGATCTGAAAACAACTTCACATTTTCGTAGGGGAATACAATGCACTGCTCTATAACTTTTGTGCTCCTGAGCCATGAAAGGTGTGGGCACATCCTTTTTGGGTAGTCCTGTGTTTTCATTGCCAATCATGAAAACTTAAAGCAGCTTCGGCCTGTACAGTGCTGAGCTTTCTGGCCCTGATCCAGGAAAGCACTTGAGTAGAGGCTTAACTTTGCACATGCATCTCATTGGAGTTGATGAGACTACTCATTAGACGCTTTCAGATAAGCTGAGTCTGATGGGCTTCACACTAGGATACTTAAAAATCTAGAAGAAAAAAACATAAGCTCTGTTTGTAGCTTTGGAAACAGGGATATTGTCAAAATAGCAGCAAATGGGGGTAGCTGGTGCCTGTTGTTATATGTAAACCATCATCTCAACTTCAGCTCTTACAAAATGCTCGATTCATCTCACAAAATGATTTGTTTTGCAGACTGCAGAAAAAACAGAAGTACAGGAAAGTGTCTGTGTGGCTTTGTCAGGAGCACCTGATTTGCAGTAGTTCTGCAGGAAATGCTTTGGGGATGGCACTGGCTTATAAACAATGTGAGTCAACGATGTTCAACTACTGCAGAAAAAGCAAATGTATCTTACTGAGTTTTACAAGTGAGAGTATATGTATGAGGACACAGCTGAAGTGGTCTGTCCATTCTCCTTGCTAGAGCAGTGTGGCTGATTTTAGGCATCTTGGTGTAGGAGTTAGAAGAAAATTATAAGATCTTTGGAAAAAAATCACTTGGGAGGAAAGGCTGAATTGTGTTATTTATGCTGGGGGCAGTTTGAGGGAAAATCTGGGACATATGGCACAGGGACAGTTAGGACAAGAGTTGGAATAATGACAATGAAGATTCAGATTAGACATTAGGAAGAATTTTCTAGTGGTAAAACTAGCAGAGGGATCTGAGGAGACTTTGGTGCATTTTTTTGGGTTAGATTATATAGAACACCTGCCAGGGATGCTCTAGGAAGAGCTGCTCCTGCCTTGGGACTGAGTAACAGAACGAGTTTTGAGGTTCCTTCCAGGCACCCCTTGATTTGGTACTGTGCATTTCTGGCTCTGTGCACTGGCACAACAATGTGTCTCACCTACTGTGTCTGTATCTTATTCTCTGGGTGTCACACATGCAGCCTTTTACAGGACTGAGGCCCCACACCAACAAAGTGCTCAAACACGAATCCTACAGAAAAATACCTCCTTTCACATTTTTGAGTCAAGCATGTGTTGAGACTCTGCTATAGTAGAGTTTAGGGGAAGGTTGTCAAGAGTTCAAATATACCTATAGGTGGTACAACTACACATGCAGTTTGAATTGGACATATTTCAATTTCTCTTAAGAGAAGGGACAAGAATATAGATGTGTGCAGCTATATCTGCTTTGAAATATGTTCTCTTTAGCCTGTTTGACTGTTGGGAGACTCATTCATACATGCTTTTTGAAGGGGGTTAGCTGTCTGCAGAAAGGGAACATACCAGTGAAATCATAAAGCAGAAGAGAATGGCAGAAAACACCAAGGCTGATTCAGAACTTCAGGATTTGGAGTGGGACCTTCAATCTCCCGAATTTCTATGGCAAAAAGAGAGGAAAGTGTGAGTAAAACATCAGAGAATTCCCTGCCTCTCTGAGGTGCTCTAAGAAATGATTGATCCTCTATGAGGAATTCATAATTACAGATTTTTCCCACTATTTGCTCAGGTGGCAGTAGCAACTTTGTTATCCAGCCACAGCTGGATGGATAAACTACAGCATGTATATACAGTTGAGTACTAATGAATAAATTCTTTTTGTTTAAAACTTTTGTAAGTGCACACTTTAAATAGTAAAGATTTGTAATGAAACATTTAGAAAAAAGAGAGAGTGGAATTTGTGTGTTGTTTCAGTTACACATTAGACAAAATATGACTATACTAATAAGTAAAGTAAATTGATAAACAAAATGTTGAAAATATCACCTAATACAAAAATCAAATGTTTTTGGTAGTCTAGCCCTGTGTACATAATATTCTGTTTTAAATAATTTCCATGAAGTATATATATATATCCTCAAAGTAGATATTAGCACAAGAGAATTCAACTTTGATCTTCAAACATCCTGATTGAAGGGCATCCTTTGAGAAAGCAAAGTTCATTTCACACAATAGTGCACTTCTGCTTCACTAGTAAGCTTCAGTTCAGAAAAATCAGCAGCTGCTGCTACCTGAGCCCCTGTCTGCCTGCTAAGGAACTCCTAGGGCTCTGACCACCACTTCTGGTCTGCCTACAGGATGAGAATAACATAAAGAATAACACGTAATCAGTGCATTATTCCATTGTCTAAAAATTATGCTGGTTTGTTCTTTTTGTTCTCCCAGACTTTCAGACTGCACTTCCTTAGGAGAGGAGCATTGTTCTGTCTCACCAGGTGATTTTCTTAAGGTCTACTAATTTAATTGGATTTTTGTAGAGGAGGCATACTTTTGCTCAGAATTGATGAAAAACTAAGCACAACTTTGTAAACAGATGCAATAAGAGACTGATAATTTGATGTGAACCAAAGGTTGTGGATCTGAACCCTTGTTTCTTCATAGGTCCATTTAGTATTAAGCCCAGGGTAATAAACTGCTGCATGGGTCAAAGTGGTTTTCCCCAGATAGGAGGATATATGGACAAGCAGATGTGAGTTAATTTAATCATTTTGCTCATTTACAGCTCCTAGTACTAAACCACACAGTGCTAGTAACTTGTTTCTTTGTTCTTTCTTCTCCCTTCCAGGCTGTCCTCAGCTGTGTGAAAACTCCCATCTCCCCACACAACCCTGCTGTAAAATCTGCCTTTTCACTCTTCTGGGGTACTTTCCTCAGCATCATTAGTGATCCCCCACCACTGAATTTTGAAGAAGGCTTGAAAGATGAAAAAACCCTTTGGCACAAATCTGTGCTGGGCTTCTGCCATCAGCTGATCTGCAACAGTTTGGCATAACCTCCTTCTTTACACGACTGGGTCCTAGGGTAGCTTTGATCAATTTTTTAAAAGTTGGAAAATCTTTCCCATTCTTTAAAGAAAATATAAGGACTTCAGCATCCAAGGCCTTATAACACTTGAGCTGATTTGTTTGGTGAGCTGAAATTGTCATTTCTGGGGATGAAGGTGTGTTTCATGAATGTGCCATGTCACTCTGTCCTTGTGCACAGCCATCACCTCTGGATCCTGGCTGAAGGACAGCCCTCTTCGGAAGGGAGACAGTGATTCTTTTGTTGTTCAGGTTTCCTTCTGAAGAGAGTAAAGTCTTAAAAGCTTAAGAGAAAACAAGACCTTTTGATATCTATGAGCATGTGGGCCTTAGATGAAAAGATGGCCAATGATTCAAGGGGATGCTGCACCAGACTCTATGTGAAGAGCATGAGAGCTTCTGCCCTGGCAGAGGTAGGAAGAGATGAATAATTTTCAGGTGCTTTAGTTAATGCCATATACCTAGCCAGATGATTTTTGTTGTCACTTTTTTTTTTTTTATTTGTATCCATACCTATTCTATTTTGTACATTCAATGTGTCTATTGACTGCACATACAGAGCAAGTTGTTTACTGCTGTCACAAATCCTTATTTACTGGCTGGGCTTTGTCATGAGAGTGCCCTGCAGTACCCTGCCTATGAAAACAATTTGTTGGGTGAGTTCTGAAACACTGTCTTGTTCCTAGTTTTCTGTTATTATAAGATGGGATCAAAACACATTGTGACTTTCCCTTGACTGACAGAAGAATTGCAATATATTTATTACACAATTTTAATGGGAAAAGATAGTTCTTTTCCCTGTTAGAACTTGGGTTATTTGGATCAATGTGTTCTTTCTTTAAAAGATTTGTTGTGGAGACTGCATTCTGTATATTCAATAGATTGCTACAGATGTGTGTCTTTAGAACATATTTCAGCCAGTGCTTTATTGTTAATAATATAAGAAGCCTCTATGTTAAACATGCAGAAGTAATTTCTGTTGTGTATTACAAACATGCAGCAGAAAACATACAGGCATTCTGTCTCCATTTATTGCCTACCTGCTGAAGCTACCTCCAAACACCTCTATAAACTGTTGCAACAAAATTTTGTATATGGGCTGTGCTTGAGAGACTAAGAGCATTATTGTCAGTGGGGCTGGTTGTATGCAAGTAAGATGATCTAAGGTCCAAATCCAGCTGGGCTGTTGCTGTGCAGGATACAGGCTGGTATTTATGTTGTTAATCTGCTAATTCAGGGCCCAGGGATATTTGATTTTGGATTTCTGGTGTAGTATTACCTAGTAAAAGTGGCACTAAAGAACTAATCATTAAGTTACATGACATGAAATTTCCTATTATGAATATGAAGAACCTGAAATGTTGCATTTGACTGGGCAAAAAGTGTTTTTTTCACATTGGTTCCAAGAAAGATTCTACATATAAAACTTGGTTCATTCCCTTTATCTGGGGAAGACTTGTTGACAGTATAATATATTTTAATTCTTTACATTATGTGTCACAGGAAATTATTTTAATCATTCCTTCCTTAGAAAATATTATCGGAAATACATATCTTTCTGTGAAATAGATTTGATGTTCCTGTGGCCCTACAGCTTATACTTTGTATAAACATTCAGAAGCTTTACTAGCCATGACATGAACTTGGGAAGATGAAATTATACACCACAGCCATTAATTGCTTCAGACAGAAATTTTAGAAATTAATTTCCAGTAATATTCTGGAGCTTAACATTGAAATAGTTGAAATTGGGGCTGCCATTTCCAAGAGGAATCAATCAATAAAGAAACAAAAATAATTGTGAAAGTGAAAAATTAAATCTAAATCTCAAAATTACTGGATGTTCTCAGATTTTCTAACAGTTTATAAGGAAAAATATTTTATAAAGCAATTTATAAACAAAATGAGTAATGCTTGAGATGCTGTTGATAGACAAATATTTAGTGTTCACAAATGGTAGTGCTGTGAAAGATGTATTTTTCTTCTATCTCCATATAATTTGGTTTCCCTATAAGCTGTCCCTTCCTCTTGCCCCTCCCAGCTGGTTTTCATGAATCTGAATTCTGCATTGGTATAACGTTGTTGAGTTTTGCCCTTGACAGCAAGGTTGTCACTGACCAGCAGGTGAAAATCTGGTGATTAAAAACCTGTGAGATTTACAATCATAGCGAAGATATCATCTTAAATATATATAAAATAATTTGGGAGATGTTGACCTCTTAAAAATTCTTCTAAGAAAGCTGGAAATTCTCTAATATTTGGATCTCTGCATGAAATTCTCAAGAGTTAATATTTCCGGTCATTCTTAAAGCTTCACTCAAAGTTGCTGTCTGTGCATTCATTCATTCCTAAATTAATTAATCTCAAAATTACAGCAAATGTCTGATTTCACATTAACCATATCCAATTACTGCCTAGGTCAACACTGATTCAGACTCAGCTAGCTCATTCTCAGGCCCTTAATGACTTGCCCTGGATCCAATTTTGAGCTAAAACAAAAAGGGAGCCCAGAACTCGGATCTTCTGGGTGCTGCCAGTTCTGATGGAAGAAGCAGATAACAACAAGTCAAATCCTTAAAAGGACATCAAAGGAGAAGCTGAAGACCTGGGAGCAAAGGGCTGCAGACATCAGCAGTGTGTTTTAGCATCAGGGAGGAGCTGCCGCAAGCCCGGCGATGTCAGACAAGTGACAAAGGGAGCCTCCGCTTATGAGGGTACATAGCCAGACAAAGGACGGGGATGGGTGAGGGATTTAGCTCTGGAGCCTGATCTTTTCGGGAGAATTGGCCATAACACACATAGCTAATCTGGCTGGGAATGCCAAGTAGCGATTGCCCGGGCAGGAAGGGAGCTGCCGAGGAGTGACTCCCTGGCTGCGGGGCTGGCTCCAGCCTCTCCTGCCGGAGCGGGGCCCGGGGCACCCCGGCCGCAGCTGCGCTCCTCAGGAGCTGCCCCCGCTGGAGCTGCCCAGCTTTGGCACCGCAGGCCAGGTGGGCCCGGGTGAGCCCCTCGGCTCCATCCCGCCTCGGGAAGACGAAGCTTCTCGCTGAGCTGGCAGCAAAGTCATCCATCCCTTTTCTTCGCGAGTGACAAACGCGCTCCTCTTGGGCTCCACGTGACGAGACAGCAGTGACTGTGCTCCAGACCAGACGAAGGCACCACCATTCATGATTTTCCATTTTTTGTCACATTAATTTGGGGGGGAGGGGAAGCAGGGCAGAGAAAAGGCTCTGAATCCAGACAGACATGTGTGTTTTAAATTATGTTTTGTGAATTGAAGCGAGGCAGATGCTTCCAACAAGCACACATTTTGCTACTGTTTGCAAAGCAGACACACACTGGCACATGGTTGGAGGACATGAATTATACTTCTGTGCTTCTGATTTGTAACCACACCTGTATACCCTTAGAAATGCTAATAGAAAAAATACGAATTTAGGCACAAAGGAGAATCTAATAAGAGGAACATTTGAATGGGTAAGGAAATGTCTATTCCTCCC